TTGAGCTACCGAGAATCCTATTGAGTGACACTGGGTCTGCCTTTGTATCTAGGTTTACTGAGTCAGTGGTCCAGGCTCTGAGAATCACCTATTACTTACACCCAGCCTGGAGATATCATCCCTCTAGGAAGGTAGCATGAGACAACCAAACTGCTGAGAAAACTTTAACCAAGCTATGCCAGAAAACCCTACAATCATAGCTTGAAACACTGCCCATCACTTTATTGAAGGTAAGAGTGGCCCCTAGGGTTAATATACCTCTCAGTCCCTTTGAGATGACTTATGGAAGACCTAGCCTAATTTCTGACTTCCTGGTATTTGCAGACATATAGACCTTAATTCAACATGTTTTAACTTAGGACAGGTACAACAAACAACACAACAATATGGTAACCAGGTCTTGCCAACACCTGGTCCTAACCCCCATAAGTGTCTAACTCAACCTGGAGATTTGGTCCTTGTCAAGTCATCCAGTGACAGATACTTGGGATTGGAGCATTTCTGGAAGGACTGCTTCAGGTAATTTTTAGCACCCCAGTGGTTGTTAAACTGAGGTACTTGCACAGTTGGGACCATTTTTCTCAGGTCAAACCCTATTTTCCAGATCTGGATCCTTGAACAGACCTAATATCCAACTTCATGGAGCTGTGAGTCAAAAAGGGACCTCAAGCTATTCTTTAGAAGATAGCAGGTAAGTGAATTTCAAAAAGGAAACGGTTATATTTTATCTTTCTTAATCTGCAGTGTAATTGTTCTTTTTATCAACTGCTTTATCCAACCATGCTTACTCTCTGATGGATTATTTCCACTCCTAACAACCAGACTTCACAAACAAGGAAAGGGCTTCTTGTTCTTGGTGTATCATCACATCTGCCTTGGTTCCATCTAGTTCCTTTGTTCCATCTAGTCTGAGATGCTCATTTCTTTCTTAAATAAGCCAATCTCTCAAAGGAATTAAGCCTCGGGATGCCAGAACCTGCCAAGGCTCTCTCTGTTTTACAAGACCAGATTGACTCCATTGACTCAGAACTGCTGACCCTTGGATATGTTGACTTGTCTCATCCTCCAGGAAGACTGCCACTTCTATCTGAACAAATATGGTATGGCCCAAGATATGTGAAACACCTTTTTGGTCAAGTGGCTCGCCTGAAGGAACAGGCTTCTGCAGGATGGTAGTCATCTCTGGGATTGTCCTGGAACAAGCTGTAGGTGGTTTCTCCCACTCTTGGGATGCCTAATCTCAATACCTCTAGCATTGATTTTTGGCCCTAATGCTTTATAGTGCCTAACCTCTGTCATATCTCCCAGGTCCAAGGGGGCTCCACTTGCAGTTAATGATCCATCAAAGATTCCAACCACCTCCTCCAGAGGAACAAACATCAGGCCATAGTCTTTGGGACCCAGGTCCAATGACGTTTTATTATTTGGCTGGCTCTGTGTCACCCAATTAGTTAGCAAGGAAGATGGGCCACGCACATAAGGTCTATCACCATTTTCAGCTTGAAGAAACTACAGAACAGAACTTCCTCCTTGCCTCCCCTTATAATTTATAAGTGTCCATATTCCTTGTGGGGGGTCTTAGATGGAGATAAACAGACAGAAAGAGAACAATATATCAAAAGGAGACAGAAGACAGGTGCAGCACCTTATTAGGTAAACCACTTTCCAACCCCCAGTTTTTAGAAATGCCCTCCCATTTCTTGGAAACCTCCACAGTTATATATACAGCCTTAGCAAGACCCTTAAACCCGACCCATAAAAATGCCTACCACCTGAGCGCTCGGTGCACTCAGCTGCTTGGTCAGGTTGTCCGCCCTCAGAGTATATACTTTTGTCTAAGACTGCTTGGTCAAGCTGCCGAGTCTCAATCTCTTTCACTTTCTCTTTAATAAATCTGCTCTGTTAAATCTCCTCTGTGTGTCTGCCCTGAATTTTTTCTCTGGTGAGACCAAGAACCTGCATTCATCTCCAGTGACAGTTTGATTTGACAAATGCTAAGTAATGGAGAAGATGGTCCATGGATGTCTTACTCTGTTTTTGTTTTTTGTTTTTTGCTGCTATAACAGAATACCACAGATTAAGTAAAGTTTTTTCTTTGGTGGTATTGGGGTTTAAGTGTAGGGCCTCACACTCGCCAGGCAGGTGCTCTACCATTTGAGCCACACACCAGGCTCTATTTTGCTGGACAAGGAGGTTTGATGTGACACCCTTTAAGGACTTTCTAGCCCTGATATCTGTCTGTGACTCCATGGTTACCCTGAGCTCAATAGCTATCAGGTACTGTCTTTTCTGACTCCCCTACTCATGGGAAATCAAGTTCAAGTGTGCCTAAGAGCCATGCTAGTCAGTCTGGCCACAGGTCCTATACCCATACACATCAGGTGTCATAAAATCACTGACTCTAGTGAAGAATCTTTTTCAAATCCAAGGACTGATGGCCTTCAGAAATAAGTCATTTGGAGGCCACATGTCTCAAAAATGTTAACTCTTCAGAAGTGTTTTCTTTTTTATCAGAAGAATAGAAACCATGAATTATCTACTTCCAAGAAATAAAGCCTTTATTCAGTAAATGCAAACTATGTTAAATAGGTTATGAGTTTAAATGATGGATTGTCAGGGAAAGGGGAAGGAGAGGTAAGAGTGTGAGTGCTAGAGAAAGGCAAGAAAACACTTCTTGGGTCTTTGCACTGACATTGGTCCCTCAACTGATCCTTGGCAGCACTTGCAAAATGGGCTACCCACTCGTCTGTGAGAAATGGAACCTCAGAGTCTCTGCCTCCCCGGGCATCCTGGGGGCTGCTTAGACAAAAATCAGCATCCATTCAAGGGGAAGCAGGATACAGGAGAGGATGTGAATGGTCCTGTCTGTCCTCCCCCAGCCCTTGGAGTCCTCTGATGAACAAGCATCAGATGCAGGAAGAGACCTCTCCAGGAGTCTGAAGAGCTAACCTCATGACCTCCCTGAAGGATGGTGGGCCAATCACTTTCCCTCTGTCAGCCCTGCCACCCTCCTTATTTACAGAAGGATTTACAGTTTCAGGAAAGACTGATAGAGGGTGTGTGCCCCTTACCTTGGATGCTAGTATTTCACAGCAAATCCACCATCCACCTAAGAGCCCTCTTCCAGTCATAGGATGGTTACAACTTGTTAGACTCCAGGGCAGCAGGGAAAATGCCTGCTCTGGCGGTCAGAGTGGGTCACATGCTGAAAAAGCATATTATTAAGCCTGTCTGGAAAAAAGAGGCCTATTTTCCAGGGTCATTGCATAGGTCTTCGATATGCACTAACCAAGAATAACCCCTAGGATCTCTCCAGGTGACCCAAGGCTTGTCCATATTGGTAAATTTTAGGATGCAACAAGGCATCTCTTCTGTAGCGAAGAGACCAATCCTGATCCTAGGAAGAGAAGGACAAATGAGGTTAGGAGGGTTATAGCCTCCTAACCTGCTAACAGGGGCTGCTAACAGGACTGTAGGATATGAAGACACACTTTAAGTTTGAGAACTCTTACATACAGTTCAGGCTTCAAGCTCAAATACTGTAAGAAAAGTGGAGTTGGGACAATCAATCACTAAAGAACTCTGACAGCCGACGGCACAGTGAAGAAGGCCCTTAAGGAGACAGGGAGGGGGATAAGCACATAGAGGCTCAATGGGAACCTGCTAAAATGATGTTCAACTCCAGAAAACCATGTAAATCACAGTTTCTTCACAGATTGAGAAGAAATAAAATAGCCACCCTTCACTACTCTCTTACTGTATGTCAGCTAGTGACAAACCCTGTATATGCTCTTATTTAGACGGTATTTTATTTTAAATAGATTGCTTTTATTTGACGTTACTATGGTGGAGGAGAAAAGGCGGCGTTAGTGTCAATACTGAGAAAGCATAACCAACTACATTTACTTATATGTGTGGAGTGACACTCCGGAGAGTTTGGGGTTTCTAGCCAGCAATGAGGAAGGATCACTAACCTTTAGGAAGCATGGGATTTAAAAACTAAAGAAAACCTGGACAGCTCATGTGATGCTGTGTGTTATTAAATTTTTCACAGGCTCTGGTTTTGGCTTGCCAAATGGGGGCTCCAACTGAGCTGGAAAGGTCCTTCAGATGTCCATATGGCCCCTAGGTTGCGACCCCATTCACGCTTAGGCTCCTTATTAAAAGAGTAAGCTGTCCGTGTGACTTAGATGTTGGGCAGGTGCAGGGGAGGGAAGAAGTGGTGGGAATCCTCTGGGCCACACAAGCCAACCTTGGGGCTCAGTGAAATGCATCCGAAGTGCGGGTGTGCAGCGCTGCGCTCCCCCTCTTACCCCCTCTAGCCCCGCCCCCTGAGTCAGGTTCTTGGTCCCCTATGCTTGCCCTTCCTTCAAGGTGCCAATCCTCTCTGTTGGCTCCGCCCCTTACCGCGCCCCTCCCTCAGAACTCCACCCCTAACTCTTCTCCTTTTAGGTTACGCCCTTGGGTCACGCCCACTACGCAGCCCCACAACACTCGTACTTTTCTCTCCTGGGTCCTCCCCGTCCCTCTGGACGCCCGTGGGTCACGCCCACTACCCCGCCCCTCAAGGCCCCGTCCCGTTCACTTTCCCTCAACGTCGGCCCCGCCCTCCGAGGCCCCGCCCCTCGCAGCCTCGGGCTCCGCCCCCTCAGAGGCGCGGACCGTGGAACCCCGCGCCTTTTGTGTGGAGCTTCTCGCCGCGCGCTCTCATTCACCTCCGCGGCAGCGGGCGTGCGCGCGCGCGCTCGCGCAGCTCCTTCGGCGGGCGGAGGAGCGCTCAGCTAAGCGCACACCTTCCATCTCTGTTCGTCGGCTCAGACTTCGCCCGCGCGTGCATCCCGCGGCCGCCGCCCCGAGTCTCAGGCAGAGTCGCGCGCGTTCCCGCCGGCCGGACCCCGCAAGCTCGTCCCCCCTCCCCCACCCCCGACTTCCCGGCCCGTCGGCGGGCTCCCCGGGCACGCGCACGCGCTCGCCCGGGCACGCGCGCCCGCCAAGATGGCAGAGGCCGGGGCCCAGCTGTCAGTCGCCGTTGCCGCAGCCCTTCCCCGCAGCTAGCGGCCCGGACGCTCGCCCAAGAAGATGAACCCCCGCCGCTACCCCCAGCCCAGCCAGACGCGGAGCCGCCGCGCCCGGGGCCGGCTCCCTCGTTAGCGCCCGCGCCCCGCGCCCGCCGCCGCGCCGGGTCGCCCCCCGGCCCCGCGCCCGCCCTGGCAGCGACAATGAGGTGAGACGGCGCGGTGAGGCGGAGCGCGCGGGCCCGGGAGTGTGTGTCGGGGGGGGGGTCCAGGGCGGGAGCGGGCGCCCCGCTGAGATTGGGGGGTTCTGGGAGCACGGGAGTGGCCTTGGGGACCGTGGCGGCGTCTGGAAGGCGGGCAGGGTCTTGGGGTGCCGGGTGGGCGGCGTAGCGGCGGGGCGGGCGGGGCGCCTTGGCAGCCGGGGATGTGTGGGGGGGCGCTCAGATGTCCCGGCCGGTGGTGTCCACAGCCATGCCGGCTCGCTTTTAAGTGTGAGGCTCCCCTCGACCCGGAGCTGGTTACCCCCCTTCTTCCCATTCTCTTCCCGTCTCCTTTCTTCTTGCACGCCTGCAAAGTGAAAAATCCCAGAACGTGCCACTCATTGATTTGTCACCCAGCCCGGTGGTGATCAGGTTTAGAAATAACACTGCCAGCCCCTGAAGCCCAGGTGCCCTCTACACCCATCCTTCCTCTCCAGAGGTAACCATGCCCTGGCCTTTTGGGGACAAGTACTTGTGGGGTTTTTTTGGTTTTTTGTTTTTTTCTGTGCAACTTTGCCTTCTAAACACCTATTGCATATAAACTCCAGATTAATTTTGCCTGGTTTGTGAACTTTATATAAATGAGATGATACCATATATGATATTTTGGGTCTGGCTTCTTTCATTTAACATATTTTTGAGAGTCATCCATTCTGTTTGTTGATTTTCATTGATCTGCTGTACTTCGTAGGATAAATACATCACAACAAGTTATACTGTTGGTAGACATTTGAGTTGTAGTTTTGGGCTATTATGCTGTTATGAATATGTGTGTCTCCTGGAACATTTCTAGCAGTAGAATTTTTAGGTCAAAATATATATGCTATGCATATCTTCAACTTTTTTTTAATGAAGGTATTGGGGGTTTGAACTCAGGGCCTCATGCTTGCTAGGCAGGTGCTCTACCACTTGAGCCACGCTGCAGCCCTATCTTCAGCTTTAAAAGTGATTGTGCCAGGTTACACTCCCACCAACAAGTATGTAGGGTTCTTATTGCTGCACATCCTTGACTACGCTCCATGTTGTCTGTCTTAAATTTTAGTCATTCTGGTGCATGGCAAGTGGTTTTTAATTTACAGTTTCCTGTTGGCTAATAAAGCAAATCTTCTTTTCATGTTAATTTGGTATCCTCTTTTATAAAGTGCCCAGTTTTCCTTTGGGGTTTGTTGTCTTTTTCTTATTAATTTGTAGGGCTTCTGTGGCAAAATAAAAAAGTTTCATATAACATCTTCTGGAAACCTTCTTGTTTTGTCTTTCACATTAAGATATATAGTCCACCTGGAATTCATTTTTGTGTGATAATTGACAAGGGATTCAATTTTGTTTCTCTCCAGCACCATTTATTCAGCACTATTTATCAGAAAGATCTTTTCCCTAGAGCTCTGCAGTGCCACTTTTGTCATCTTCCAGTCTTCCATTTGGGGTCATTTTCTTTTCTGTTGGAAAAATACCCTTTTGTTCTTTTTAGTACAGGTTCTGTTGGCAACAAATGCTTAGTGTTTGTTTGAAAATGTCATTTATCCTTCATTTTCTCTGTTTTGCAAACAGTCTTGAGATATAATTAACATGCCATAAAATTTATTCATTTAAAGGCTGGGGGCTTAGCTCAAGTAGCAGAGCACTTGCAAGCAAGAGGCCTGGGGTTCAATCCCCAGTACTGAGTACTGCCAAAAAAAAAAAAAGAAAAGGATTTTGACTATTCACAGAATTGTGCAACCATTGGCACAATCTAATCTTGTCACTCTGTTGTTCCTTTGAAAGTAGTGGGTTTTTTTTTCCCCTCTAGCTGCTTTTAAGATATTTTTTCAATAATTTTCCTATGCTATCTTGTATGGATTTCTTTTTATTGTAATCAGAGTTCTTAGGCCTTCTTGAATCTGTGGCTTCATGTCTTTCATTAATTGTAGACATCATCTGCCATTAGCACTTCAACTATTGCTTCTTCAGCATTTTCCCTTCCCTTTCCTTTTGGGACTATAATTATATCTTAGACTACTTTATGTAACTTCTGTGTCTCTTAACCCTTAGTGTTTTCTGTGTTTATTGCTCTCTTCTTCATTTTGGAGATCGTCTCATTTATCTTTCTTCTACTGTACATAATTGACTGTTAAAACTATCTATTGAATTTAAAAATTCAGTTTTTTAATTTTTACTTTCCATTTGGCTTTCTTTTATACTTCTTAGTTATCTGTCAAAATTATCAATCTTATCTTTTATTACCTTGAACATGCACAATTATCTTAAAGTCTGTTTGATTATGGCAATATCTGAGACATTTCCATGGTCTGTTTCTGTTGATTTTCATTCATACTGTCTTGTCTTATGTGCCTAGTGGTTTTTCTTTTTTCGATATGTGCTAGCCAGCAAATTTGCAAAACTCTTTGTAGAAATAATTTGAGGCATAAGATGCTGTTTTTCTCTTCCACGGATAATTAACATTTGCTTTTGTCAGGCAAGTGGAGGCACTTAAAATCTGGGATCCCTTCAGTCCACTTTGAGGGATTCAGATGTTTCTAAGCTGAGCTTCAGTCTTTGTGAGACCAAGCCTGTTCTGCTCAGCCTTTTTCCTAGTGCTTACCTTTTCAGCAGCACTTCTACTCCCCCTACTAACACCAAGTAGTAGCACTCCCTTCAGAATGCAGAAAGCTCTTAGGGAAGTTACCTTCCCAGCCTTGGACATCCCCCGCCCCCATACCGTCAAGCAAATATTCATTATCTCTTGTCTCTAGCTTTTCTAGTTCTCTTTAGCTAGAGGATTCTTCTGCTTTGCTTAGGTCCACAGTTACTGTAAATAAAAGTCTCTGAGTTTCAGGGGCTGTTTGAATCAGTAGTCAGTTCTGGAGATTTATGCTACCAGGTTATGGAAGCTATGGAGAATAATAACATCTGTTTGCTTGTGTTATGTCCTAACTATATTAGATTGTCAGTTTCTTAAATGCTCTTGGATAATTTTAGGACTAAATCTTTGACTCTTCCTAATATATAATTAATTGAAAAAAATGGTTGTCAGATGAGGTAACTTATAAAGCTAAGTTTTTTTTTTTTTTTCCGGTGGCAGGTGTAGAGGGGTAGATGCTTTTTTCTCTTCTTCTGTTCTTCATTTATTTCTCCTGTCTTGATTTCCTTAATTGTTTGTTTGATAAACCCTTTTGCCTGGTGAGGTAGCTCACATTTGTAATCCCAGCTGCTCAGGAGGCAGAGATCGGGAGGATCTCATTTTGAGGCTAGTCCAGGCAAAAAGTTGGCAAGACCCCCATCTCAGAAAACAAAAACAAAAAAACTGAGCTGGTAGCACATACCTGTTATCCCAGCTATTTGTGGAGGCTTAAATAGGAGGATCTTGGTTCAGGCTGGCCCTGGGAGGGGAAAAACCTCTACTTGTGGGGTAACTAAAGCAAAAAGGGCTGCAGAAGTGGCTCAAGCGGTAGAGCTCCTGCCTGGCAAACTGTAGGCCCTGAGTTTAAACCCTAGTAGTCCTAGAAAAAAAAAATCACCCTTTATCTGATCCTCTTGAAAAGAACAGTTTCTTTTTGACCAACAATAACATAATAGCATTCCCAGATCTTGTTCTTTTGGATCAGATAAAAAGGCATCAATGTAGAAATGAAAGTTCTTACTTAAATGATTATTTCAGTATGAGTCGTTCATTTTACTTTTTCCCCTTTGTAAGTCACTTATTTTTACACAAATTTTTAAAAACACTGTTAACAGTCTCACTTGGTTTTTTGTTGAGACTGCTTATAGTTAAGGATCTATACATATATATTGTACCTGGAGTGTTTGGCTTTTGCAAATGGTAAATGATTCCAGTAGATGTTGTTTCTGTTGTCAGCTATTGACTTGATTTGGTTATTTGCAATTATGGGAAAACATAATTGCAGATTAGGAAAACATTTTCCTAATCTGCCTTTTATCTTTTCTCTGGTCTCACACCACAATAATCAACACAAAAGAACGAACTGCAGTGGTGCACCTCTGTAGTCTTAACTATTGGGGAGGCTGAGGCAGGAGGATTGCTTGAGCCCAGGAGTTTGAAGACAGCCTGGGCAACACAGCAAGACTCTATCTCTAAAACAAAACAAAAGAAACACAGAATCCGGGCACAGATGGCTCCCGGGTATCTGTAATCCTAGCTACTCAGGAGGCAGAGATCTGGAGGATCACAGTTTGAAGTCAAAATAGTTCATGAGACCCATCACAAAAAAGGGCTGGTGGAGGCTCAAGCAATAAGAGCACCTGCCTTGCAAGTGTGAGGCCCTGAGTTCAAACCCCAGTACTGCCAAAAAAAAAAAAAAAATCCACAGAAGACTTCTGTGACCTCAAAAGTTATGGGATTTCTTTCCACCAGTAAGTAATGAGTTCTGTGGGAATGGCCACCAGCTGAGTATTCTGATACTATTTATGTCATATTCCATAGGTTAAGGGCTCAGTCCCCAAGACTGTTTCCTGCCCCCTCCAAATAGTCTCCAAACCTAAAAGATTTATAGAAATTTACTAGGTCCACTTCTGTACCTACTTAAAAGACCACCCACACATGTCCAATATGCAATATATTCCTCTGCTTATATAGTTTAGTCATTTATCTTATGGGAACAATCTCTTCTGTGAACATTTTCCTAATCTGCCTTTTATCTTTTAAAGATACATAAAAGTTTAATTTTTTTATGTTATTAAATTCTGTCTTTGTTTTTCACCACTTCTTACATTTAGGATTGCATAGATTTAGAAATTTGCTTATTTTTTTTCTGTTCTGTAATATAAGAATCTTTAAAAATCTGTTTTTCAAGTTGTCCAGAATATGAAGTGAAGACTAAAATTATGTTTTTCTTCAAAATTGATGGTCAGCTAATGTAATAATGGAAATCTTAATAACACCAGGGTGGTTAGCTCTAAAAGAAGGTTCCTTTCCCTCCCTCAACCACAATGTGAGAGCAGGAGCATGCCAAAAA